AACATTAATACAATCCACAATGAAGGAAACAAGCTAATGAAGTCAATTAAATTAAGTACATAAATTTAACGCTTTGATTGGCATTCCAGTATATTGTTCTGTCTAGTGGCACAATTTATCCTTGCATTTTGTTCCATTTGGACACTTACTGCAACTTGCTCCTGCTTCGTACGGTTTTTGATCAGGAAAATTGCCCCTTAAATGGAAGGGTAAATATTTTACCATTTCATAAAATACACATCCCACTTTGCATTGGAATAAATGATTAAAAAACTTACGGTAGTTTATACTGGCAAGCATAGAGATATACAGGCCCCTCTTTGCCCTTGAAATACTGATCACATTGCTTGACCGCGCACCCAACACTGCTCGAACTAGACCAAACCATCTAATAATTCAAATGAACGCCAAGTCATTATTTGCAATGAAAATATTTAATTATTTATATCAAATGGCAGGCGTTTTGGTGGTTATCATTAGCCCTTTGGTTGACTTCAGGCTTCACAGATGGGATGGAAAATCAAAGTGAATAAAAGTCGAGAGGAGGGGAACTAAAGAGTGTTTCAAAGACAAGGGTTGAAAATGTAGAAAAAATGTGATGTAGTACTTTGGAAGTGGTCGAATATGTCATACAGGGGGGGGGGCCTTGGTCGTTTGAAGTCAACTGCCGGTTAATAGACTTTTTGTCGTATGAGTATACGTTGCCCAGGGTGCACCACTTGGAGGTAAGTCTATGGCTCACCCCAAGAAATGAAAATATATATACCCGCCCAACTAACTTACTTGTGTATAATGCCCACACACTTTGCCGGAGGCGCATGAGTTCTTGTTGTAGTCGTAATCCTTCCTCTCCTCATGCCAACGGTCGATATACTGCGGGAAATCAATAATTGGGTTACCGTAGCTTATAGCAAGATTTTGACTAGTGTTCTGGTATAATTCATCGTCGATCGTGGGATGCACGAATTGACATTTTTTAACCCAAGTGTTGGCCAAATATTCCATCCTGGAATCGTATTTCTGCAGAAAAGAGAGAGAGAGGTTATTAGAGTGCTAATGTTCTTAAAATAAAAACCTGTTTGTTACTTACCATTGCAAGCATATCTGACGCTGAAGGAGAGACATCCCTACGTGCCTGATTGTGGGAATTTAAAATTAATGCAACCTCCTGTGGAAGTGCCCTTCTGGCAGAGATAGAGTAGAAATAAGCCAGTAATAAGATTACTTTTAGCTTATTTCAACTCATTAGTCTTAGAACTTGCGCGTTGACTCTTATATGCTGCTCATCAATCTAATGACAAAGGTATGCAAAAAGGTTCGCTCCGATAAAATCACATGCCCTCCACATGACAATCCTCATTTTTAGTCAAGGTAGTTGAAATAGCATATTGTATTATTTACTGCTCCGGGTATACTATAATTTTAGATGTTGGAGAACTTAAATAAAGAAATGAGCACTTTTCACAGCAATACTTAATTAATTCGCTTCTTGATAATGTCAGCTCCAATCGTGACAATTTAAAATCAAAATATTGAAATGTCAAGGGCAAGAGAGGCTGGCGGCACTAAGAATATCTTGTGAATGCAAAGGAGCAACTGAAATATTAGATTGGCAACTAAGTCATTGCCGATTTCAAATAAGAAGGCAAATTCGGAATTTTTGTTTAAAAATATAACTTTATTCAATTAGATATTGGCCGTTCTTGTCGATGACCTTTTTCCATTGTTCTGGCAGAGTAAAAATTCCCCGTTTGTAAAATGTCTGGTCTTTGCTATTAAAAAACTGAATTAGGTGTGAGCCGACATCATCCACGTTGTTAAAAATTTTACCATTTAAAGAGTTTTGCATGGAACGAAACAAATGGTAATCCGAAGGCGCAAGGTCAGGGCTATATATGGGGTGGGTGTGACAAAACATCCCAACCCAGTTCCAATAATTTTTGCCGAGTAACCAAAGATGTGTTGGGGGGGGGGAGGCCTTGCGTTATCATGATGGTAAACAACACCCTTCCTCCGATTTGATAATGCCGGCCGCTTATCTTCAATTGCATCCTTCAGTTTTTCGAGTTCTTCAACATACACATTTGAATTTATCGTTTGGTTCCTCGGCATGAGTTCAAAATACAAAATTCCTTTGTGATCCCCCCACCAGACTGACAGCATAATCTTTTTTTACTGAATCTCTGCTTTTGATACTGTTTGGGCTGGTTGATCTTGCTTCACCCATGATCTCTTGCCAGTAACATTGTTATAAACTATCCACTTTTCGTCGCCAGTAACTAGGTTCTTCAGAAATGGATCATTCTCATTGCGTTTCAGTAGCGGCGAATCACAGATGCTAATCCGTTGCGTCAAATGAATTTCCTTTAACTGGTGAGGGATCCATAAATCAAGTTTCTTGACATAACCAAGGGTTTTTCATTTTTTTTTCAATGCATGTATGCGACACATTGAGCTTCTCTGCAATACGGCAGAGAACAATGCGGCAACAATACGGCAATGACTTAGTTGCCCACCCAATAATATGATGCCAATAAATAGAGCCTAGTAACATCCGAAAAGGACTGAGTCGTCTTTTGAAATAGCTATTTACTTCAAGTGACGAGCGTTTTGACAGTTATCATTAGCCCTTTAAGCTGACTTCGGGCTTAACGGGGAGGAGGAGGAACATCAAAGTTGCAAAAAGTCAAGATGGGGGACAGAATAATGATTCATAGTTGTAGAAGAGTCAGACAGACTGACACAAGGCAGAGAAAATGTAAGATGAGTACTGTGGAAGGGGTCGAAAATAGAAAATGTAAGATGAGTACTGTGGAAGGGGTCGAATATGGCATAAAATCGGATCATGGTAGTTGGAAGTCAGAATTCAACTGCCGGTTAATTGACTATTTTGCCGTATGAGTATACTTTGCTCATGGTGCACTACGTGGAGGTAACTCTATTCCACAGCCCTCTTTTGAAATATACCATTGAGAGTTAATGTGAATTGCTACATTCCATTGCATCGGGTCATTATTTGGCCTACTTATCCACCCCTTCCCCAGAGATATTTAAAACTTTTATTATTTCACTTGTATTCGATCTAATGTGAATGATGCATGTATAATCACCTTTATCATTAATATTTTTTCTTCAAATGGAAACTCTTCCTGACAAAATAATCCCATTAATTTAGAGTCATCACAGATACTTGTGAACTCTCAATCACTCAAACCGCTCTGTAGTGAAGACTAACTCATTGTATATGCCTCATTTGCGAGCATGCTAGCATTAAAATATTTGAGCAAACATTCAAAAAGTGTTTCTTTTGCAGTGGAGCACAGGATATCGGTAGTGGTCTTAACAGTATAATGCCAAAACTCATAGTTAAGATGAAGTGGGGTGTACGATAGACTTACCTCCACGTGGTTCACCCTGGCAACGTATACTTATACGGCAAAAAGTATATAAACCAGCAGTTGCCTTCTGACTTCAAACTACAATGGCCCCACTGTTTCATATTCGACCCCTACCACAGTGCTCATCTAGTCTTTTCTCTGCCTTTGTGTTTGCCTGTCTCTTTTACATCTGTAAATCGCTCTTCTTTTCCCCTTTCGAATTTTTTCTCACTTTAATGTTCCTCTCTACTGTGAAGCCCGAAGTCAACTAAAGAGCTAATGATAACTATCAAAATGCCTCCCATTTGAAATAAATTAATTAATTAAGTATAGATGAAGTAGTTATTGACTATTTCTTCAACTCACCTCTGCAGCAATGCCTGAAATATTTGAAAATGTTCACTTCCCACTTCATTACGCCACGCCAAAGAGTCAGTTAATTATGTTCTCCTCGGGGTTTAAATGGTCAGAATTTAAGCCCAAATGCAGTGCTGTTTAAATTAATTGCTTTAAAGTCAATACTAAAGCAACAACAGGATTTTCATCATTAATAAGTTAATATTTTGGTCATAAATTCTAATAATTCTAAGATCACTACCTAATTATCAATTTCTTTGCACATGGTAGAACCTCAACAATGATATTTATGATCATTTGACAAACAATGAATGGCCTTACTTAGCTCATTTTTATCTGTATCCATTCCTATACTTATAGTATAGCTGTGTAAACGAATGTGCAATACATTGCTCAAATAACGGAATATCAAATTTAATTGTATATAAATTAATTCACAGGTATGAACTGATGAAATTGTTGTTCAAATTTCTCTATTCAATCATTTGGGTTTTATGCTACTATTTCATTCGCAGTAATTGCAAGCTCCACGCGTGCTTGCAATATTTGAGTAGAGACTAATTTAATCAAAATCGATGTTAGATTTGATTTGGGATGAATCCTATTCTTAAAATAGTACTTTGACAATGTCCACATCGCCTAAGTGAGTACTCATAGGCACAATAGAAGTCCTTTCAATGCCTTACTCTAAGGCGTATACACAAGCAACAGCATGAGCTCTAAACTTTATCAGGTAATAATTGCTTAGCAAAGTCTCCATATATCGATATTAGCAGGTAATTTTGCAGAAAAGGTCAGTTTCATTGTGTATTGAAGAACTGCGATAATGCATGGCTTAACATTTCCGTCCACTTGCTCAATAATGAAACCAAAAATGTCATCTTCTGATGGGCTCATTATGAAATAAATTAGTGTTGAGTGGGAAATAGATTACCCTATTGGCTTAATAATTGAATTTCAAATTAAGAAGCAACTTGAATTAATATAACCACATTAGTGCGCATTGGGAAATTGCCATAACGCTACATTTGGCACCTATGATCACTAGTCACTCATAATGGTATAAAACGCAATTTATGCAAAATAGAGAAAGTTGAATAAGTAATTTTCAGCACAAATTAAGTCATAAGGGGGGGGGCCAAGATAAGGAGAACACTTATTTATTTCTTGAATTTAAAATTGGAACTTTGAAATTCATGGCAGCATGTGAAAACTACTTTCTACAACCAGTCATGCATCTATTTAAACTGCATTTAAATTCGTTATTACTAAAAAATATTATGGCGCCCCGCAATAATATATTGCGCTGGATAAGATGAGACGGCAACCTAAATCCACTCAAAAATTCGTATTTTTTAGATGTATTTTCTATATTTTAGATAGAAATATAGAGCGCAATCATGGAAATCAGCACCTGGTACACGACTGTTCAAAAGGTTCCGTTAAAAGTCCACAAGTTAATTGCAACTTCAATGTTAATTTCACATGAAACAGAAAAATATAAATTAATGACGATTTTTGTACGTTTAGATATTTCAGTCAGTCAGGTGGTAAGAGGTGCGCCAGCATTCTTGTTCACCTGAAAGTGTAATGAGAGTGAAATTGTAGCACTCAGATTGTCAAGACTGACCACAGGACAGCTTTCATTTGTGGTTATTTATGCGCTTGATAGAAATAAAAACAAGCACTAACTAGCTATAGTGTTCGGCGTTGGCATAATTAAAACGAAGCGTCGAAAATCAGATAAAAATAATACTGTCTCCTGTATATGGCATAACTTTTCGTTTTAAACTGATTTAATTTTTCAGTTATTATTGATTCATGCTTTGAATAGCTCGAATTACCAATGGGACATGACTCATCTGATTTTCTTACGTGCTTTTATGGCAAGCGTGTTCTGCGTAAATCATGAATTTATCAGTAATATTTTCCTAGTCTTTAGCTTCCCTTTTTCTACTATTTAATTTATGATTGCTTCATATGTGATGAACTACTCGGTAATGCATGATAAATAGATTTGATGTACCAATATAGACATATCCATAAGTATGACTACTTTAACTTTGAGCAGAGCAGAAATAATGTGTCACAAATTTGCTTTCTATTAGTCGCTGCCAAGTGTAAGTGTTTTATGATTATAAAATGAAAAATTGACAGCAGAATGATTGTTGCATACACTAAGCTTGAAGGCACAAGCCATTTTTCGAAGTCTCAACAGAGTTTGTGAATAGAGTTACCGATTTCTTCGGATTAATATGAGCATCCTACTCAAATAGGCAGTTCGTGTCACTATCATTAAAGAACGGTTCATACTTGTATCTTGTGTCTCGCACAAAGCATCGAGGCTAACATCTAACCATCGTTTGGA